GGACCCGTGTCTCTGTCGCTGAAGGTCCGCGCAGCTTTTACGAGCACGTTTTAAAAAGAGCTCCTCTAGCTGCGGGGGCCCCGTGCGGCGCCGCACAACTCAGCGGCGCGGTTTGATCCGCTTTGATCTTCCCGTGCCTGGCTCGGGCCCTTCCTGCGGGCGCTGCCAGGGTAGCTGCTGGGCCTGCTTGGGGCTAGTCCTGGAAGAGGCGATGCAGATCTTGAGTGAGCTGTGCTTTGCTTGGCTTGAAAATCTTTCAGGGAACTAGGTGGCTTTGCCTGTGCGCTATAGGAGGAGCCGAGGCGTGGGGGCTTAGTGGCACCAACATGTTAGATGCAGCCACCAAAAGAAGAATATAGGCATTTAAGACCCTGTGTGGAGGTAGTTGGGGGTGGCTCGTTTCTTCTGGCGGCCGGGCAGCCAAAGGATGCTGCAATGCCTGAGCTACACAACGTTTTAACACAACAACTCATTTTTAAAATTTTTCCCGACAGTTTCCAAAATCATTCAGCCGCAGGCAGAGACCCAGGCAGAAAAATCCAGGCTGAGCAGTTCAAAGCGGGTAAAATTATAGGCAACTGGAAATAGCATGATAGCTTCACAAGGCTTGTCTACACTTGAAACTTATAGGTTTTTGTGTATCCGCACCAGTGATTGACAAGAACTATTGCACAAACATGCCTTTTGGGACTATTTGCTCGGTGCAGTTCAGGACACCTACTGGAAGAGCTGGGAGCAAACTGTATAATTTCCATAATTCTTTTTGTTTCCTCCCATCAACCATCTGGTATGAAGATGTGGCTAGTTTCAAAGCACTGTCAAGCAGCATAAAGTAAACGTTGTTGAGGAGTGCAGCAGGCTGTTGCAAGCATATCTAAAGCCAGGCCACAACTAAAGAACCAGAGCAATGAGGAGGAGGCAGGTGACATTGGGGAGACCCTTCTGCTAGATCTTTTCTGGGAGTAGGTCTGCTTGTTGGAGCATCCCTTTGAGCCAGGGTGAGTTAGCACTGCCCTGTGGAACAGCGTATTGTTGCCGACACAGGCTGACCAGCAGTGGGGAGTAAAAGTCAGGATGTCACTTTCCTGATTTTCCTAGAGTTCTGTGCAAACTGCCTCTGTTACAATGGACTACGCACAGAAGCTTCCCTTTAGTTAATTAATACAGTGTTATTTAAACCAGATCTGAATCTCAAAGTAGGCAAGTATATACTTCTTGCTCCAGGAAGTCACTCAGTAAGTGGTGACACCTAACCAGTCTACTTGATTGCAGCTCCTGCCTTCATCCACAGAGGACCCAAGGATAGATGCAAGGACTTATTCCAATCATAAACTTATTCTTTTTTCTCATGAGCACCAGAGGCCAACATCAAGTCATTCGAAATAATTTATTTCTGTGGAACTGGAAGGAGGCACCTTTTTAAAACAAGCCTCTGATGACTTTACACAGAACAAAAACACAAAGAGCAGACCAGGTATATGGATAAATATATTAGTAAATAAATATGTTTCTGAGCACATCATGATATTCACATTTTTTGTTTCTAACTCAGACATAAATACACAGTTTTGCATATATATATAAAACCTATTTTTTTGGTTTGTAATTTACCTCCAAACCCCAAGAGCCTAAAGAACAGACTCAGCAAAAAAATGGCAACCATGTTCACATTTCAAAAGGATCTGAATTTTCCAAGAGGAGGGAGCAGAGAGCAGCGTTCATGATTGACGGACTCCACAGTTTGGGGCCCTGCACCCACATTAGCTGCCTCCCAGTGGTGCTGGGTGTCCTGGGAAGAGGCTAAAGCTCTGTTCTCTCTGACCTCTGGGGGCCATTGAGGGTTGGGTAATGAATTATGCTCCTTTGGGAAGCTCTGGCTTTCACTTCTACTTCCAGCTGAAGCCCTGTTGTAGTGCAGGGGAAGAAAGCTGAAACCATGGGTGACTGGTGCCTCCTGAGACTGGCGGGGCACAGTTTGTGGGTGGCAGCATTGGCAGCAAGTGGTGACTGCCCACAGAAGCTGGTGGCAGTGGGGTGACGATTGCCTGCAGAAGCCAGTGTTGGTGTGGCGAGCTGCGGCCACCTGCAGAAGCTGGCGGCGGTGGCACCAGGATGGCGACTGCCTGCAGAAGCCAGCGGCAGCATCGGCATGGCAAGTGGCGACCGCCTGCAGAAGCCAGTGTTGAAGTCAGTGGCAGCCAGTGGACGTGTGCCCCCCTATACCCCATGTGTGTGGCTGAAACCCTCCTTTGGAAGAATATAGGAGACAGGGCATCTATACACATGCAGGGAGGCTACTCTGACATGCTGTAATTACAACACACTGGAGCAGACTACGTGGTAATTTCCGTGCTCCAGCAGACTCCAGCATCATGTGTATCAGCATCCCTGTGCTGAAAAATGGCAGCAGGGTGCTTTAAATTAAAGCTCATTCGATGAGCTTTAGTTCAAAGCACCCTGCCACCAATGTTCAGCACGTGGATGCTGATACATGTGACACTCCTAGTGCTTTTAATTAGCATGGCTCTTGGAACTGGGCTAATTAAAGCACCCTCCTGCTTCCCCCTGAACACATTTATACATGGCCTCAAAGTCTGGTTCTGAGAGGTGCTAAGCACCTGTGAGTACCACCGAAGTAAGGAAGCCACAAGTGCTTAGCATGTATCTCAGGATGGGGAGCATTTTTCAGCTATGGGTCTCCCTCCTAGAAGACCAAACTCTACTTCTCTTACCATTTAAAATATCTCAGAATAATTCTTCCAGTAAGAAAGAGCTCCTTCCCCTCTAAGAACCCATCTGGACACTCCTAATCTAGCTAAACAACCCCTGGATCGTGTCTCAGTGCTCAGGGAGATCCTTGGGTCTTGGTCTGTAAATGAAAAGTACCAGCAGTGTAAGACCGGAAAATGAAAATACTTAAGAAGTGGGAGCTGTCCCTCACAGCCCACATAATACTGCAGTAAGAGCAGAAGGGGTCCTTAACCACTGAGGGCATGTTCTGTTGAGCTCGGGCTTGCAGCAAGGGAACTTCCTCCTCTTAGTGTTACTGGGAAAAAAATACTTTAAAACTGCAAACTAGAGGCCTGTTCTTTCAAGTGCTGCCTGGGAAGCTTTAAGCAGTCTGACTCCTGGAGGTATCCATGAGAGCTTAGTGTGTTTATCTAGAAGTCAGCACTTTGCAGGATCATGCCCTGGATTTGTGAGCAGCTTTGTGTTCAGGGCCTTCCGCTTTTCAAAGTCAGTTCAGGAGACTGGGATGCTCATGGGTGGGTTATTTAAAGATCCTTAAAGAAAATTCACATGCAGTAGAAATACAATTGTGGGCATCTAGGCTGGCTCCTGCTTTCTCCTCAGACTTAAAGTGACCTGTAAACAAGGGGAAATGAGCTTGTTCCTCTTGCTTAGTTATTCATAAAAGAGAGAGAGGCTAAAAAATGCAATCCTGCTTGTCTTTGACCTGAGAAATCCAGATCCTCTCCAGACTGGAAGACTGGCTAGCTGCACAATGAGCGAGTGACAACCTCACACAAGCCAAGAGAATAAAAACAATTGTTTTGCTTTCTTTGTTTTGCTTTAACCAATATTTTTTGTTTGTTTTAGCACCAGCTGCTTGATTTCAATAATTTACACCTGGGGGAGAAAAAGCCTTTCTTAAAGACTAAAGTGTTAAGAGTTCACAGTAAATTGCCCAGAGAATGCCCATCCTTCCCTGCAAAAATGTTATATCAAAACCAGGAATGAGCTCAGGGAGGACTGGATTAGATCCAAAGCTCATACAGTCCAATGTCCTGTGTTGGACAGTGACCAACACCAGATACTTCACAGCAGGGTACTAAAAACCCTATAGTAGTAGATGGGGTAATGCCTCCCCATGCTCCCTGTGCCCACTGACTCCCATCCTGATTTTTAATAGGTGGAAATTGGCTTTAGCCCCACGGCAACAGATATACCATCTTTTCCTAAAGCTCATGAGCATTAACTCTGTAAACTCTGGATATTCCTGTTTGCCACATACCTGTCCAACCCCTCTTTGAATCTGGCTAATCTCTTGGCCTGAATGACTCTGTGGCAAGGGGTTCTGCTAATCCCATGTTTTATGAAAAAGTATTTTGTTTGATCAGTTTTAAATTTCTCACCTTTATAGTTCATGGAATGTTCTTGTATTATGAAACTGGGGGAATAAAAACTCCTGCTGTCTCCAAAATAAAATACAAACAGGAATTAAACAAAACAAAACAAAACTCAGACCTCCTGTCTTCATTATAAATAGGCTGGAAAAGGGCTTGAGCTGGCTGCTTTTCAAAACCTACAAAACTACAACAGTATTAGCAAGTGGGGCTCTGCCCGGCATTTACTGCTGCAGAGGCTTCACAGGAAATTTCCAAGTACTTCTTACTGTGGCATTTGGTGATGATGGTTACCATACTGAAGAATGGGAGAAGGAGCCATGCCACCTCATGGGTTTTCCTGTGACTCTCAAGGCAGGTGCTTCTTAGCTTTGACACCTGCATTATGCCTGATTTAGGCAGGTGTGGTCACAGTGCTAACTTTTAACATTTACTCTTGCAATAGGTGGGAGGGATGAGAAATTTGTTTTCATATTCCCAGGTGAGAGGATAGATTCTGAGAAGCAGTGAAAGGATTAGCCCTCCAACTTGTGAAAATGCTGCCCACATCCTCCAGATCCTTCTTGCTCTTTCTTCAATAGGATTCTAGTGCAGGCAAAGCATAGGAGGTCACCTGATGACTCTAGCTAAAGGGCAGTGAGTTGCTTAGTGGAAAGGATCCTTAATTTCTACTGGACTCGAAGCAGGGTAAGGACCTCAGAGAGCTCCCATAGTGTAGAAATGGAACAGAATTATGTTTGTGCTT